GGGTTTTAGAAATAAGGAAGAAGGGCAAGATTCTGGGGCAAGGGCTGAGCTCTGAAAGGGGAGACGGAGGGAGGGGGACAGTGTTGAGACCTAGTAGGGAACGGGGGGTGTTCTACCTGTCAGGAAGGGGTTCCGGGTCTTTGCGGCCTGGGGTGTCTTGACTAAGGAGTCCAGGTTGACCAAGGAGGAGGCTGAGGGGCCCAGGAAGGACTCAGGCGTTCGGGCTCGGGCCTCCTTGCTGGGCTGGGTTAGGGCTTCCCCCACTACACCCAGGTCAAAGGCCTCTGGCTCCTTGGTACCATTTTGCTTGGAACTGGGGATGGGGTCTCCAAACAGGTCCAGCTCTGGAATACAAATGGGTAGGAAGAGGGATTGATCACTGTAGGAGGAAGAGGGCAGAGACCAGTTCTGGGTAGGCCCCCATTCCCCAGAGATGAGTCATCCCCTGACTCCTGCTTACCCACAGGACTGCTGGGCTTCCCAGAAGGCAGGGCCTGGGCACCCTCCAGCCCCTCCTTGGTCTCTATGGATACTGGAGGTTTGGCAAATGGGTCAAAGGTTGAGGTGCCACCTAGAGCTAGCCAAGAAAGAAAAGGGAGATGAGATGGGTTGGTAAAAAGAGCAGGCACCAGACTGACCTCTTTCCGGGCAAGCAGCCCTCCTAACAGAGATAGGATCTGCTGCCCCTTGACCCTGAAGGAGGGGGACCCAGAGGTTGTCCAGCCCCTCACCCACACTCTCTGGCCCTTCACTTACTAGGGGTGTTGGAGGTTTCCACCAAGGCCCCCCAAGGGTCAGCCCCAGTGTTGGGGAGTTTGTGCGGGGAGGAATTCTGTGTCCAGGGGTCTGTAGTGGGGACTCCAGCAGGCAGCACTGGGGTCCGGCCCCAGGGTTCAGAGGAGGAGAGGGTAGGGGGCAGGTCCCATGGCTGGCTTCGGGACAGGATGCTTCCTGAGGGGACTGGAGACCAGGGATCTGCAGAAGGCCCCCAGGAGGAACCACTGGGCTCTGTGTTGGGCCTGAAACCTGAAATGGGAACAGCACAGACATGACCCCAAGCTCACCCTTACCCCCATCCCAGAGCCAAGTTACCCAGGCCAAGTTTCGAGGCTAAGGGATCCGTTTCACAGATTCAGGATGCTGACTCAGAACCACCCAGCAAGCTGGAGCCCATATCTAGCAAGTTATCCCAGGAGCCTGGACTTCCTGGCACAGGCAGCTCAGGCCCCCTTCCCAGTCAAGGACTGGCTGGGGCAGGAAAGCCAGGGTGACAGGGGCAACAAGAGCACATTTCTGAGATCATTTCTCATGAGCTGGGCTCTTCAGTTGTGCTCCCCCTTCCTCGCTATGACACCATGTCTCACAGGAAGCTGAGGCTCAGAGACATGGGTGACTTGCCCAGTGGCCCTCAGCTGTGGGAAATGGGGTACCAGCAAGTGGCCAGGAAGGAATGGGCTCTCTGGGGCCAGCCTGGGAGGCTCTTGCAGCCCTGCATACCTACCTGGGATGTCCCATGGGTCAGCGGAGCAGTGTGTGGAGGGTGGGGCAGGAGTGGGTGTGAAGATGTCCGCCAAGTCCAGGATGGAGGACTGTGGAGAGGAGAGGGAGCAGTGGCTCAGAGGAGGGCGGGGCCCAGAGGAAGGCAGGCCCTATCCTGTCATTCTGACTCCAGCTCATTCTCTCCTTCACCCATTCCATAAACATCTAGTAATGATCCCTCGCCTCTGCACAGTGCTTCTCAGTTTATAAAATGTTTCCTCACCCATTTAGTGCCTGATTTTCCTAACAACCCTGTGCAGAAGGTGGTGCTGTGCCCATTTTACAGATGTGCCAGATGAGTCCCAGAGAGGGGGAATAATTTGCCTGAAATCACACAGCCAGGGAGAAGCAGCGCTGGGCTAGAACTCAGGCCTGTCTGACCCCTTCTTCAACTGCCCTGTTCCTCAGCCCATCAGTGGTAAGGCTGGTTATATGACTAGCCTGCCTCCCTAAGTAGTGTCCAAGAGAAACTGGTCACAATGAACATGCAGAACTGGGGGTAATATGGACATCTTTGGAGGGTGGCCTTGTTTCCAGCAGCTACCTACACCCTCTTCTTGAAAAATATGCAGATGAGCCCAAGATGTTTTTAGCACCATATGCCTGAGTCCACCCCCAGTCTTAATCCACACACCATATCATCCTAGCATATCAGAGCTGGAACTCTGACAAGCCCACAGAGGAGGAAACTGAGGCCAAGACAACGATGCGCCCCAACCACAGAGTGGCAGCAAATCCAGAACCTAATTCAAGGGATCTTAGATCAAGATTCTTTGCAACCCACTTTGCCCTCAGCTTGGGCATCAGCCTATGCAGTATGGGACCCAATCCCAGGCTGCTACAACCCCCCGCCTCCATTTTCATTGAATAAACACTTAAGCAGTGCTTACTGTATGCCAAGCACTGCTCTGCACTCTTTACAAATATGAACTCAGTTTGTCTCCCAGGCTCTGTCAGCCCACGCACCCCAGCGCCCTCCCTACCTGGCTGGTTTTCAGCTTCTCCTCCTTTCTCTCTTCCCTCTCAGGCTCTCTGTCTTGCCGACGGTGGACTGCGGCCCCAGCACCATTGGCCATGGGGGAATCATCTCCCCTCCAGGACCTCACCTCCTGCAGAAGGCACAGAGGGAGTGAGAAGAGCATGGGAGCCCAGGTTGGACTTGAGGGGGCCTGAGCTGAGTCGAGAAAAGTGCAGGGTGGGAGGCAGCTGAGAGGTTAGGCACAGCAGGCCCACCAGGTGAAGCGGGAGGAGCCTGGTTAGTGCCCCTTTAGCACCTCCACCAGCACCAGCATCAGCACCAGCACCAGCACCAGCACAGGAGGCTCGGCCTACTACCTTCTGGTGCTCCTGCCGGCTCAGGCGAAGAGCCAGCTGCAGCTGCAGGTCCTCGTCCCTGAGGGAGGCTGGGGGGACTGGCTGCGAGGGAGGAAGAGAAGGGTGAGCTTGGCCCGGCACTGTCACTCCTGGGCCGAAAGGCAACCTAGCTCCGCACTGCACGGGGAAGGGCTGAAGAGAGAAATGCCACCCAGACAGCTCTGTGGGTGTGGCCTTCTCCCTGTCCAGATCTGAGACGCAGTTTAAAAATCAAGAAGCTCAATCTTTTTCTTCTGGGTCTCCTGAGTCTCCCTGAGTCCTGCTTCCTGTCTGGTCTACCAGGACCTACAGAGGTGATGGCAGAGAAGAAGGTAGCATAGGAGCTGTCCCTGCCCCAAAAAGGGTAGCTGATGGGGGGG